CTAATATTAGTTTTTCATACTTTAGTAATATACGCAGTTTATGATATTATATTAAATATGAAATATTAAATTAATTGATAAGTAATTTTATTTTTACAAAAATTTAGTTGCCGAATTATAGTAATTTTCATAAATAACAAGTTATTAAATTATTAATTTTTATTTTATTATTACATAAAATATATATTTTTTATTTTGTGATTGCTAATTTTTAGTAATATAAACTACATAAAATATATATTTTTTATTTTGTGATTTGCTAAATTTTTAGTAAATATAAACTATTCATAATATATAATTTATATAGAAAATTAATTAGAAAATTATATATAAATTTTATATATAAATTAATAAAAATTATATATATATATTACATTTATTAAAATGACCAAAAATCAATGAGTACAAACAACGTGCAATGTATATTTGAAGAAACTAGTCTATACTATATATAAATGTGTGAATATAGGGGAATAATGAGATTTTTCATAATGTCTTTACTTCAATTTAAAATATTCTAAATAACTTTATTGATAGCCAAATTAAATTTTATTATCCTTAATAGATAATAAAGCATTTAAAAATTTAAAATTTGTACTTTTTGAATTTTATTTTTTAAAATAACATACGTAGATAATAGATATATTTAGACATTTTTATATTGTTATTTTTCAAAATTAAAACTATCCGGAAGAGAGATTTGATTAGAAGGTGTTGTTCTTACTTAAACTTAGATGTTGAAGCATAAAAAGTAGTAGATTAGAAACGTGGAATCGAAATCTATCTTTTTTATGTTGAAATCGAAATCAAAATATATAGTGTTGTTCTTGTTTTAGCTATCTTCTTTTTGTGTTGAAACGTGGAATTGAAATTTTTTTAAATATTTCATTCAAATATAATAGATTTTAGTTAGGAATGAGATATAAGGAAAAAGAAAAAAAAAATACAGATATATATATATATATATATATATTGATGTCCAATTAAATTTTATTATCCTTAATCGATAATTAAGCATTTACAAATTTAAATTTGTACTTTTTGAATTTTATTTCTTAAAATAACATACGTAGCTAATAAGTATATTGGACATTTTTATACTGTTACTTTTCACAATTATTTTTATATATTTAATTTAAATTTAAAAAATTTTACTTAGAAAAGAGATATAAGGAAAAAGAAAAAAAGAATATATATATATATATATATATTATTTTTTTTAAGGAAAATTTTGAAGGAGACATTAGTTTTTTTTTTTCGAAAATTAGTTCACAAGGAAGAGATATAAGGAAAAAGAATATATAATATATATATATATATATATATATATATATATATTATATATATATATTAATATATATATATATATATATATATATATATTGATATATATAGAAAATTTTATATTTATATATATAGAAATTTTCGAAAGAGAGGTTGATTTTTTATTTTTTATTTTTATTATACTGTTTTTCAAAAATTATTTCATTCTATAATGGTGTTTCCAGTTAAAGATTGGGTTGATTTTTAAGTTCAAATTAGCAATTTGTTTAAAGTAATTTATTTCTTATTATATGTTGAGTTATGGAGAGTTTTATTTTTAATACTATTTATCTATTTTTTATTATTTATTTTCTTTTTTGATAGTGAATCAATTCGTAGTTACTGTCACTCTCATTTAGTAGGAGATTTATCTCCATTGCAATAAATAGACGATTTCATAATAATTAAACACTTTTAATTTTCTTAATATTTTTTCTCTTATATATCCTAAATCTGTTTGACTTGAAGGAAAATAATGTTTGGAAAACCATATACATATATTATATATATATATATATATATATATATATATATATATATATATGTATGTTATGTATGTATTATGTCACTTTTTGGAGTTTTAAGGATATATATATGTACATATATTCATTTTTTTTCTAATGTATTAAGTAATATTGCCATTATAACCAAAGTGATTACTATTATCAGCTTGTGTTATTTTTAAACAATACAAATCACTTTTCATTTTTTTCTTTAACAAGCTGAAATAATTTTTTATTTTTATTTTTCATTATAAATATATATAGACACTAATTTAGGGTTGGGGGATAGGAGGTTGGGCATTGAGTGATGACTTAATTTTCTTTTTTGAGCATCTATTAGAGTTTTAAGAACTGCACACATAAATAAGTGGCTAAAAATAGGTTTAGGGGTTGGATTGAATTTTTTTTTGAAACTGCTACACTATGTAAATATAGAATTAATTATATACAAATAGCATTGTAGTGTTTAAAGCAAAGTGTGATGCAAATTAACTATTGTACTTATTTTGATCTAAAATAAAAATTTATGCTTAATATTAGATAAATAAAAAAATTAAACAATGATAAAAAACGAGTATACTCAACGTGCAACGCACGTCATAAAATAGACTAGTATTTTATATAAAAGTGGAAATGAGGAGGAAAATAATGAGATTGCTGATGTTGTCTTTGTGAAATTTAAGATATCCTAAAATAACTTTAGTCTTAGCCAATTAAAAAATTTTAACCTAAAAATATATATAATATTTCTATAATTATATATATAATATTTCTATAATGGGATGTTTTTTTAACTTTTAATATATTATATATATATATATATATATATATATATATATTAGTATATATATATATATATTAACCAATTTTCAAAATTTTAAATTTTTACTCATTATTAATCTTATTATGTCTAGTTATATTTATTACATTATATTATCATGTAAATTATTAATAATAATTTAATAATTTTTATTTTAATAATTTATTATTATTATAATTTAAAATTTAGCTTCAATATTATTATTTTAAATAATGTATGTAAATATGAGGCATTTGAAAATTTTTACATTTTTTTGAATTTATTTGAAATAAATATATCTAGATAATTCAAATTTTGATTTAAAAAGGGTATGATTAATTTTTTTTAATTTCAAATTGCACTCTAATTTAGTTGGACAAAATTAAGATAAAAAATTATTATTTTTAAACATGTCGAATTTTATTAGCTATATTGATGTTTATATAATTCAAATTCTATTTCTATTAAAAAATTTAATTTTATTAATAATTTTTAAATGCTTTCATGATTTTAATATACTCTAAATAAAAATAAAAATGAAAATTTATTATTATTTATTAATATTTAATTTTATTTTTTAGATTGATTTTTTTATTCTATTGTTTAAAATATATTTATTTACCCAGTATTTACCAGATTATAGTGAAAGTCATTAACAAAACATGTAAATTAATTATAAAACTTATAATAGAAGCCATATAACGATTTTCACAAATCAATTTGGTTTTTATTTAAAAAAAATGTAAGCAATTAATGTATAATAAAATACGACAATACTATTTGGTTCCATCTTTCTTATAACTGGAACCGAATGTTTTGAAATCGAATCCAGTGGTTTTAAGATCATGGTCATGCCTAGTATGTATCCAATATAAAGTTTTAAAAAAAATTCAAAATCCATAAGAAAATTTTAATATATAACGGTTGAATTTCATAAATTCAATCTTCACATATGTAATTTTCTACTAGTGTCAAATTTTACAATGAAAATATGATATTTTGTGTCTAATATGACCCCCAACAAGTCAATGAAATCCTTATCTACCAACCAAAACAAATATCAATTACGTATGATTTTGAACTTCAAACCAAAACAAATATCAATTACGTATGATTTTGAACTTCATCCTCACCCTTCTTTAATTTGTAATCTCATTAAAGAATATTGATATTCTCACAGAAGTAATTGAGAAATATTGCAACCAAATATAGAAATTAAATATATCGATTGAAGAAAATTAAATTTCTTATGAGATAATAGATAAACATTGCAATCAAATATAGAAAAATCAACATGTACTTGATAACTTTGAAGGAAAGGATAACTATATAAATTAATTGTGCCATAGAAACATTGTAATCAAATATAAAAAAATCAACATGTACTTGACAACTTTGAATAAAAGAATAACTGTATTAGTTAATTGTGTTATATAAACATTGCAATCAAATATAGAAAAATCAACATGTACTTGACAACTTTGAATAAAAGAATAACTGTATTAGTTAATTGTGTTATATAAACATTGCAATCAAATATAGAAAAAAAAATGCATCTACTAAGTTTATAGATTGACAAAAATATCATTAAGGATTTCTTAGTTATATCTAAATTCTATTGATAAAGTAAGAAATCATAATATATACTAAATAAGATATAAATTTAATTTTGAAAATATTCATATTAGACTTGTAGAAAGACCATGGAGTGACTATGAATAGCCACTAAGTAGAGCGAGTGATTCTCTATATCACATGTATTATGCCTCATTAAGTTAATAAGATATTTCAAATCAAAATTGTGCTTTTTTATTCTTCACACTTCTTATATAGAAAGATGTTGTATTTCATATCCATATAATTCTTTTAATAAAATTTCTACTTTGATTTAAAAAGAGAAAAAACTATACAAAGTTATTTTATTATGCTTGCCATCCATTAATTATAAACCAACGTTATTGTTATCTCTCTCCTTTTACATTATTTTGAATATGTTCCAAATATAAAAATAATTTTCAATTCATTTTCGATAAACAATCAAATAATAGAAAGTAAATTATTTTTTCAAAAGATATATATATTTCTCATAAATAAATTAGAAAGTAAATTATTTTTTCAAAAGATATATATATTTCTCATAAATAAATTATTTCTCTAAAAAGAAATAAAATTTAAAAAGGTTTGCTGAAATATAAATATAACATAGCACTGTAGAGTTGGCTCATCATCTTACATGAAAACTGAAATTAAATACAAATATTAAATTCCCTAATATCCTATATACTTTAAATTTTCAAAAAGTCTAAGCCTTCTCCTCTAGAGCACTATAAAATCCCCCCACTCACAACCACTTTTTTCCATCAACAAGCACATCAATGGCAATGACAACATTTTCAGCACAAGTTCTTGTAATTGGGTTGATATTTTCATGTCTTTCAGTGTCAATTCCATATGGATTAGCCCAAAGTCCATTGCTTCCAGTTCCAAACATTTCGACTTGCTTTGCCTCTTTAGCTAGTGTTCAAGGATGCTTCACTTCTATCAGTCAAGTTACTACTAATCCCAACCAGGGCAATCTTATTGGAAAGCCTTGTTGCAAGCTCATCAACGAAGCCAATCCTAATTGTTTCTCAATGTTGTTCCCTCAATCTTCTGGTTTTCTTTTAACACTCAAAGGTATATGTGCTCTTGTGGGGACACTCGCACCTGCTCCACTGCCATAATATCTATGAAGTTACAAAAGCTCTTATATGAGGATGTTTTATTTATACCTTCAAAGTCTCATGGTTATTGGGATTTACTAATTAATAAAAATGAATAAACTTTCTATGTTAATTTCGCTACCTTTGTTTCTGAAGCCTTACATATCCTAGACTCTCTTTCATTTATTTCTTGGATGCAGAGGTTGAGACAGACTCCAAAAATAAAGGGGGTCAAGAAAAAAAAAAATTTTACACAATTTTATAGAGGAAATTTTATAAAATTTTGAAGTTTGCCGCCCCTGCTTTGATGCTTCATGGTTTATTTGATGTTGTTTATTCTCATCCTGTGCAATGTAGTTTGATGTTTTAATATTTCATCCTGTGCAATGTTAGCTGTGTTTTCTTTTTCTTCCCTTGTGCATTAACTTCCCTTGTGCATTAAAAAAAAAAAAAAACATTTTTAGTATCAATAATCTTAATTCATATATTGAAAATCCACTATTTTGAGATTATTTAAAATTTCAAATAATAAATTAGTAATTTTTATGAATGGAGGGTTTTCTAAATTATTTTATCTATTCATTTGTATTTTGGATTTAATTGCTGCTAATAAGAATGTTGTATTAAAATATTAGTTAATATCATTAAAGTTTGTTTCTGAAGTGAAATTTACATCTTCTTGTAAAACAAATTTCAAAACGGTTTAATTGTATTTTTAAAATTTTTTCCCAGCAACATTGAAATTGCAGTTTTAATTTCATGCTCTAAATATTCATATCAAATAATATGAAAATTGTAAAATGTAAATTTTTACAGTTTGGGTAACTGTCATCGCCAAGCTACTGTTATACACAAATGATGGCATTTGGATTTCTAATGTGAAAGATTTAATAAACTCAACCAATCGGTTAGCAATCATTAATTTTTCCTAAACTGAGTATAATGTGATAAAGCTGATCAAACTAAATTGAATTCATCCGTGCAATATAATTTGAATGTAATTAACAGTCAATGTATAAATTTACCCTTGTATTTATGTGAAAAACCTTATGACACTCTTAATTTTTACTTTGACTTATTGAACGTTTCAATTTATAAAATTATACCCTTGTATTTATGTGAAAAACCTTATGACACTCTTAATTTTTACTTTGACTTATTGAACGTTTCAATTTATAAAATTATATTTATTAGATATTTTAACTTGTAAAAATTATTCTATTAATAGCTCAAACTTGTAAAATTAGATCGATTAAATACTTATTGGATAATTGAAAAATGTAAAAATTATTGTTCCAAAGATTATACTAACCATACATTAAATAAATATTTTACACATATATACCATAAACATAAAAAAACTATTATTGCACAATGTTAATAAAATTCATAATTCAGTTCAGGGATATAATAGATCCCTCGCAACGTCTAGGGTGCCACAAAGTTTTTTCAGTAAAAGACGTAGATAAATTTATGCATTTGGCCGATAATTAACTATATCAAAATAATAATTATTAAAATATTTACTGCAAATACACTTATTTACCGTAATATTTATATGAGTGTAATTTTATGTATCTATTTAACTATATATAGAACAAATGTTAGAATTGCTTTAATGGGGACTACATTTGCTAATTATTTTGGAATCAAATCAAATAAAAAATTGGGAATGAATTTGAGAGCTAAAAATGTTTCTACTAAATTTATGAATCGATAAAAATATCATTAAAAATTTTAATTTGATTTATTGAAAAAATAAAAATAATTTAATTTTAATTTGTCATATTTAATTTCATATTTAAATTTAAATTCTATTGAATAAAACAAAAAATTACTTATATACTATATAAAGTACATATTATGTAATATATACATATTATATAGTAATATAATAAAATATGATAACATTATTTGATGAATACTAAATAAGGTGTATATTAAATATGATACAAATGCAATATTTTTTTAAGAATTTTAATTTTAGTGGTTAAAAAAATAAAGGTAAATTTATTTTGATTGGTTATATTATACTATATAATGTACATATTAAATATAGTAAGAATATAATAATATAATGTACATATTAAATATAGTAAGAATATAATATATTTAATTATTATTTTTAACAAATCTTTAATCGGTTATAATGATTTACTACAAGTAGCTTATTTAAAAAAAATAAAGATAAATTATTATTTTTTATTAAAGAATATAGTATCATATTTATTGTTTGATATAGAAATATAACTCACTAGGAGTACACACATAAAAAATTATGATATAACACGTTTATCAACAAATCATATAATACATTAAAATAACTTTTTTCTCCATAAAGGAAACAATAAAATTAAATGTATGTTCATATACTTTAGTAAAAAGTAAAAAAGAAAATACTAAAATTATAAATAATGCTCTAAAATAATGATTAATATAATAATGATTAATATATTAAATTCTACTTAAAATATCAATGGTAGATACCTGCTACTAGCAGGTTAGATAACTATATCATCACCTGACACCGGATATCAATCCCGCAATTTGATAGGCTCTTAGATGGACACAGACAAAAAAGGTTGCACCTTAGAGAAAGTAGCTAGTCCTATCTTCATTAGGGTTAGGGAGGTTTCAGCTCCAACCACCACTAATGGAATTGTTGAATTCATTTTTACTGGGTTTGAATATCAATAATACGCAATGAAAAGAGAAAATTATATAAATATAATTATACCAATAAGAATGCGTTTAAACGATTAAAATAATGAAATTTGTTTAAAAGAATACATTTTTTACAGATTTTTCGAAACTTCGATCTACGCGGCTAGGTTGTCGCAAACCACAAGCCATCCAAGTGTTCGACCTGTAGTACTATCTACACAAATGGACAATCAAAAAACTCTAAAACTATTTTAGAGGGTTGAGAAAATAAAGTATATAATATGAACAACAATTGTTTTTAGACCGTCTCTTAAACCTTATATATGAAACCCTATGTTATAAATAAATAAAATATAATTATTTATTTAAACCTTTTAATTAAATAAATTATAGCTAAAATATATATGTGCCTATTTATTTATTTAAACAATTAAATAAATATTAAAAATAAATTTATAGGCCTTAAAATATATATGTGCCTATTTAAATATATTTACAACAATTTAAATAAAATAAATCATACTACAATAGTAATAGGATTTTTCAATTAATCAAATTATATATTAATTATTTAAGTATTTTAAAGTATATCTTACTAAATATCACTTTTAAGGTATTGATTTAATTCTAAAAATACTATATTAAGAAATTTAGACATAAATCAATTAAGGTGATACTTAATAATTTAATAAATTGTGAATTAAATATTAAATTCAATTTATCCTTATACTTAATAATTTAAGTAAAATTGTAATTAAATATAAATTACAATTTTATCCTTAATGTCCCAAAACTAATTTGTAATCAAGTAATACTTGATTCGATTTATCGTTTTCACATTTTCATATCCATTTTTATGTGTGTGACTGAAACATCCCATAATTTTATTTTCAAAATATTCAAATTTTAATTAAATGAAAAATTTAGATTTTTAATTGCATGAGCTGCAAATACCAAACAATTTTAATCTAAGTCCAAACTTACAAGTTGGGCTCAAGCCCAAAGTATATTATCGCAACTCCCAATCTAGAATCTTCTAAACTTCTCAAGGATTATTATTTGATGTTAAATATTATATTAGTTATTAAAAACATATATATGCCTACTATTTAAATTAATTATTCTAAACTCAACTGTTGTTATTATTATTATTATTATTATTATATTATTATTAATTATTATTATTAGTTGAGTAAATTGAAGAATGTTCTAGAACTTGATAATTAATTAAAATAAATCAACCACTTAAAAACAAATTGACCAGATCAAACTAGGACAATAATCCAACCAGTTGAAAAATTATAAGAATCTAGAAATTTCTAGATTAAAACCAGAAATTGATTCTTATGGGAAACCAATTGGACTAAATCACTCAACCCCTACCGCTCACCCTCTCCTTCTCCCTCTCCCTATCCGCCGACGTCCGCTCTCCTCTCCTTCCCTGTTTTCCCGCCTGAAACTCCATGGAATCCAGCAAGTGAGGACTCTAAAATTATCTAACTCGAGTGCAAGGAAGCAACAATGGAACCTCAGTTCATACATTAGTCGCATGGGATTTGAGAGAAATCACATGCAAAAATGTTTGGTACATGCGCAGTAAATGTTTTCGGTGAATTCAACGCCTGTTTTGCAAGCCCAGAGCGCGAGGTTAGTACCAAACAACTTCTTCTTCCCTCTTCCCATTTGATGGCCTCTTTGCCGACTGTTATAGCGCGGGATTGAAAAATCGAATGGTCACCATCGAACCTTCCCCAACCAATTTTCGGCCAAATAGTTCACACCCACCTGATTGAAATCAATATTAAGTTATCCTATCCATCGAAATAAATAAAATTGATGTATGTTTGTAAATTTTGGTGAAGGTTCGATTTTCCACCGGTGGGCTGCGGTAGAGATCCGGTGGTCCGACCGGCGAGTCTCTGGCGAGGCCCCAAGAGGCAGAACATCTTCTCTCATGCGTGAATTTGTAGTCGATTTTTCGATGGGTACGTCTAAGGCCTAGTTCCTCCTTTCGGTATAAATCCAAATTTTAAAAATATTAGGGGATTGAGTTGAATTTCGATTAATAGTTAATTGAATAATGAATTCTTGTTAGAGAACCTCGATAGATAAATACACTTAATTCTGAAAATTAAGAAATAAGTCATTTAGAATAACTATTATGAAATCAAAAACGAGAAAGAAAAATGGAATTTTTATGAATATTGTATTACTATATTGGATAGCTATTTCATACTTTTAAGTGTGAAGTCTAGAATGGATTGAGTTAAAAGATGAAATATCCTTAAATGATAATACTTATAAACTTGAATTGACCCAGATGATGAGAAATATATTTATATGTAGTAAATTACAGT